GGAAAGCCATGTTTTTGATGGATATTAAGAAGTAATTCTCCTTATTAGCTACTATTAAAATTATTTTTGTGACCTCAAAAAAATAAAAAGAATACTTAACAAAAGATCTACACCCCAGTATGATGTTGAAAAGCAGTGGTGAGAGGGAACATCTTGCCTTGTCCTTGATTTTAGCAGGAAAACTTTGAGTTTCTCATCAAGTATGTTAGCTAGATGTTCCTTATCAAGTTGAGGAAAGTCCCCTCTATTCCTAATTTACTGACAATTTTTATTATGAATGGGTGTCGGATTTTGTCAATTTTTTTTTTTGCCTCTGCTGAAAAGATCATGTGATTTTTCTTCTTTAGCCTGTTAATTTAATGGATTATATTAATTGATTTTTTTTGTTTGAGAGAGAGTCTCACTCTGTTCCCCAGACTAGAGTGCCGTGGCATCAGCCTAGCTCACAGCAACCTCAAACTCCTGGGTCCTTCTGCCTCAGCCTCCCAAGTAGCTGGGACTATAGGCATGCACCACTATGCCTGGGTAACTTTTTTATATAGATTTTTTAGTTAGACAATTAATTTCTTTCTATTTTTAGTAGAGACGGGGATTCGCTCTTGCTCAGGCTGGTTTTGAACTCCTGACCTTAAACGATCCGCCCACTTTGGCCTCCCAGAGTGCTAGGATTATAGGAGTGAGCCACCGCGCCTGGCCTATTAATTGATTTTTGAATGTTGAACCAGCCTTGCATACCTGGGATAAATCCCACTTGGTTATGGTATGTAATCTTTTTTATACATGTTGAATTTGATTTACTAATATTTTATTGAGGACTTTTGCATCTATATTTATAAGAGATATTGGCCTGTAGTTTTCTCTTATTGTAAAGATTGTAGGTTATTTTATTGTCTGTGTCTAGTTTTGGTACTAGGGTAATACTGGCCTCATGGGTTGAGTTAGCAAGTATTACATCTGTTTCTCTCTTCTGGAAGAGATTTTTATGGCATGGTATAATTTATTCCTTAAATGTTTGATAGAATTTGCCAGTGAACCTATCTGGTCCTGGTGTTTCTGTTTTGGAAAGTTATTAATTTCCATTTCAATTTCTTTAATAGACATAGTCCTGTTCAGATTGTCTATTTCTTCTTGAGTGGGTTTTGGCAGATTGTGTCTTTCAAGGAATTGCAATTTCATTTAGGCTATCAAATTTGTGGCTATAGAATTGTTCATAATATTTCTTTATATCAATGGGATCTGTAGTGATATCCCTATTTCATTTCTGTTATTAGTAATTTGTGTCTTCTCTCTGTTTTAGTTAGTGTGGCTGGAGAATTGTTGATTTTATTGATCTTTTCAATAAATCAGCTTTTGGTTTTGTTGATTTTCTTTATTTCCTGTTTTCAATTTCATTGATTCTTCTCTAATTTTTATTATTTCTTTTCTTCTGCTTATTTTGGATTTAGTTTGCTTCCTTTTTTCTAGTTTCCTAATTTTGAAGGTTAGATTATGGATTTTAGGTCTTCTTTTCAAATATATGCATTCAATGCTATAAATTTCCCTCTAAGCAATTCTTTCACTGCATCTCACAAATTAGAAGTTGCATTTTCATTTTCATTTAGTTTAAAATATACTTAAATTTCTCTTGAAATTTCTTCTGTGACCCATGTATTAGTTGGAAGTGTGTCGTTTAGTCTCCAAGTAACCTGGTATTTTCCAGCTATCTTTTTGTTATTGATTTCTGGTTTATTCCATTGTGGTCTAACAGAAGACATTGTATTGTTTATATATTTTTAAAAATTTGTTAAAATATGTTTTGTAGGCCAGAATGTGGTCTATCCTGGTGAATGTTTCATGTGAGTTTAAGAAGAATGTGTAATCTGCTGTTGTTGAAGTAATCTATAGAAGTTAATTATACGCAGTTGATTAATAGTGCTTTTGAATTCAACTATATACTTATTGATTTTCTCCCTGCTGCATCTATCCATTTCTGATGGAGGGATGTTAAAGTCTTCAACTATAGTAGTGGATTTATCTATTTATCCTTGCACTTCTATCAATTTTTGCCTCATGTATTTTGCTCTTCTCTTGCTAGATACATACACATTAAGGACTATTATGTCCTCTTGGAGTATTGACCCCTTTTTCATTATGTGATGCCCCTCTTTAGCCCTGATTACTTTCCTTGCTCTGAAGTCTTCTCTGTCTGAAATTAATTTAGCTACTATCACTTTCTTTTGATTAGTGTTAGTATGGTATATCTTTCTCTATTCCTTTACTTTTAAGTTATGTTTCTTTATACTTAAGGTGGGTTTCTTGTGGACAAAATATATTTGAGTCTTTTTTCTTTGATCCATCCTAATAATCTCTGTCTTTTAATTGGTCTATTTAGACCACTAATGTTTACGGTATTATTAATATAGTTGTAGTAATATATATACCACATTTGTTACTGTTTTTTTACTTGCTTTGCATGTGTTCTTTGTTCCTATTTTTGTCTTCCACATATTTTTGCCTTTGTAGTTTTAATTGAGCATTTCATATTATTTAGTTTTTCTTCCTTTTTTAGTATATCAATTATACTTCTTTAAAAACATTTTCAACTGAATTTGCAACATACATTTACAATTAATTCAAATCCATTTTTTAAAAAACACTGTATTGCTTTATGTGTAGTGCAAGTACCTTATAATAACAAAATATTCTTAAATATTCCCTCCCATCCCTTGTATCATTGCTGTCATTCATTTCACTTACATATATATGTGAAAGTTGAAAATTTCATAAGTAAAAATGCATTTAATACACTGAACATTCTGAATGTCACAGCTTAGCTTAGCCTACCTTAAATGTGCTTAGAACACTTACGTTAACCTACCGTTGGCCAAAATCATCTAACACAAAGCCTATTTTGTAATAAAGTGTTGAATATTTCATGTAATTTATTGAATACTGTGCTGAAACTGACAACAAGGATGGTTGTTTGATTACTCAAAGTACAGTTTATACTCAATGAATATTGCTTTCGCACCATCGTAAAGTAGAAAAAATGTAAGTTGAACCATTGTAAGTCAGAGACCGGGTATAATATACACATACACACATAAAATTGAATATATTTTTGCTATTATTACTTAGAACAAACTTTTACCTGTTAGATAAATTAAGAATAACAATAAAAGTTTTTGTTTTATCTTTACTCGTTCATTCTCTCTGCTTTTCCTTTCTTTAGGTAGATCCAACTTTCTGACCTAGATCATTTTTATTCTCTGTAAGGAACTTTTTAACATTTCTTGAAAGGCATGTCTACTGACAACAGATTTCCTCAATTTTTGTTTGTCTGAGAAAATCTTTATTTCTTTATCCTTTTTGAATGATGATTTTTCAGGGTACAGAATTTTAGGCTGGTAGGTTTTTTTCTTTTAATGCCTTAAATATAATTACTCCACCCTCTTTTTGCTTACATCCTTTCTGAAGAGAGGTCACATGCAATTCTTATCTTTTCTTCCCTATAGCTAAAGTTTTTTTCCCCCTCTTTGGCTTCTGTCAATATTTTTTTATGTTTGATTTTCTGAAATTTGAATATGATATGCCTAAGTATAGTTTTCTGGCATTTATGCTTGGTGATCTCTTGAGCTTCCTGGATGATGGTTTGGTATTTGACCTTAATTGGGGGAAATTCTGAGTCATGATTCCTGCAAATATTTCTCCTGTTCTTTTCCCTTTTTATTCTCCTCTGGTATTCCCATTACACATGTATTATACCCTTTGTAATTGTCTCACAGTCCTTGGATATTCTATCCTGTGTTTTCAGTCATTTTTCTCTTTGCTTTTCAGTTTTCATGTTTCTATTGTTGTATCCTCAATTCAGAGATTCTTTCTTCAGACATGTCAAGTCCATTAATGAGCCCATCAAAGGCATTCATTTCCCATCTGTTCTTACATATTCGCTACTTTTTCCATTAAAGCCCTTATCATATTAATCATAATTTACAAAATTTTGGTTTGATAATTCCAACATTATTGCCGTATCTGACTCTGGTTCTGATGTTTGTTCAGTTTCTACAGACTGTATTTTTTGTCTTTTAGTATAACTTGTAATTTTTTGTTGAAAAGTGGACACAATGCACTGAGTACAAGGAATTGTGGTAAATAGGCCTTCAATAATGTAGTAATAAGGTGTGGGGATAGGGGAAGCCTTCTATAATCTCAAGATTTTCCAGAAATCCCAAATGTACTATTCTTATCTAGGAGTCAGTGGACAATGTAGTTTTCTGCTAAGGTCATAACTGATTACAACAGGGTTTGACCCCTTACCTTATCTGAGGCAACAATATTTTCTCTCTCAGCAGAGAGATACCTAGGTATCTGTACCTAGGTACAGTATCTAGTTATTTACATGCTTGAATAGGAGGGCATTTATAAGCAATTGAGGCAGCCATCTCCTCTATGTGTACAATAATCTGAAAAAATAGGTCCATGCAGGGACCTATCCTTTTCTGAGAACATTGTCTAAGATCTCCAGTGCAGTTGAAAAGCAGTAATAATCCTTGTCTTGATCCTGATTTTAAAATAAATGTTTCTACTGTATCACCTAGTTTCTGGTGGATACCTTTTATTAATTTAACACTTAAAAACTCAATTATAAATGTAGAATTTTGTTAAATATTTAAAAAAAACATCTGTTGAGATGATCATATAGTCTTCTCCTTTGCATATATGTTTTGAGTAAAATTAATATGTTATTTTCTCTCTGTACTATCCTTATTCAGCATTGAAATAAAAATTATTCTTTGAAAGAGATGAGACACTTTTTCCTTTCATATGCTCTGTAAATCTTTCCTGGCTCAGTGGTTTGTTTTAGTAGTAAATATATTAGTACTTTTATTTGGTTTTATATGATTATTATTCTATTAAGTTTTCAAAAAAATTCGAAAATATTATCTTATTATGTCTTTCTTTAAACATCTTTATTGAGATATAATTGACATACCATAAAATCACACATTAGAAGAATACAATTTAATGGTTTTATTCTGTTCAGCATTGTACACTGTCATGGGGTCAATAGTCCCCCTCCCAAAGGTAGACTCACCAAGAACCTCAGAATTTGACTTTATTTGGAGTAAGGTCCTTTGCAAATGTAACTACGGTAAGGATCTTAAGATGAGATCATCCTGGACCATGCCATGCTTCTAGTTAGCCCACCTACAGCTTCCCCACATCAATAGCCTTTAATCAGGGCAGTTTTTGATTCTCTACCAGAATGCAAGTGATGGTGGCTGACTCTCTTACTATAAAAAGCTCTAAATAAATAGGCTTTTCCTGTTCTCATTTGTTTGATCTTCATTTATTTCCACAGCAGTGTGTATGTCTGAATACCACTGCAGAATAGAAACATACTAATGCCATCATTGCTCATTATGGGCAGTTTGTAGATTCTGACTAAAGAGATACAGAGTTAAGGTTAGATAAAGAGATAAAGGATAAGATATATTACACACAATTATAATTATTTTTATCAAATATTTTCAGCTGCAAGTTACCAAAAAATACCAAACACCTCTATTGAAAAAAGAAAGTTTTTTCTTTATAAGTGGGTCTACTTCTTCCCATTTTTTTTTTTTCAGTTCAATGAGGACAACCTTTCTCTTCATATCTTCTTCTCATGTCTCAGTTGGCCATAAGGGTATGGACTGGGAAAAGAAATGGGACCATCCTGGTTGACTTTAAACAGTTACGAGTTATTCCTCCAGGGCTGGAAGAAAAGGTCCAATTTACAGTAGCCACAAATACAATAAAATACTCAGAGAAATAAATTTCACAGGAAATGTAGAAGTCTCATAAAAAGAAAAATTTTAAATGCTATTGAGGGACACAAAAGACAACTTGGATAAATGGAAAGGTGTACTTTGTGCTTGGACATAAAGACTCAATTTCACAAAGATATAAATTTTATAAATTAATCTATAAATGTAATGTAACTTCAGTGCAAGTGCCAAAAGAATTTTTAAAACCAGACAAATTAATTCTAAGGTTTAAATGGAAAAGAAGACATAGGAAAAACCAGGAAAAAAAAAAAAACCTCTAAAATTAAAAACGGACATTTTTCTACAAATGGGGTAGTGAGCAGTGCTGGGAATCAGTTGTCCCCTCTGTGAAACAGGTTTTGCATAGCTGTGGAAAAGCACCATTGGCATTGCTCTCTGTTATCTATAATTTATAGGCAAAATGGCTCAAAGACATGAAAAGGCTGAGATAACTTGGATGAGTGAGCTAGACAAAATGTGTAGTATCTTTTTTTGTCCACTTCTAAACTTCCACAATTTTTTCTGACAAGTCTCCCTCCACCCTCATCATGTGATTATAATTTTTAAAGAGAGAGAGAGAGAGATTATTTAGACCACAAAATAACTGACTCATTAGATTTGGTTTGATTACTTATGATAAATGAAGCGAGGTCTCCTTAAATGTGGTTTGCCAAATCAAAAGCCATACAATCTTGAATCATTACAAAATTAGTTTCTATTTGGAATTGTAAAAAAGGAATCTTAGATTGGACTTTTAAAAGCCACTTTCATTTGTGATCTTGATGCTAGGAAACCAAATCCAATAAGCGACACCACCAGATACCTCCTGCAATATCTATAAATTTGTGGGACTTTCTCTTTTCTTGAGGTGCCCCCAAAAGCCTAAGCCTCCCAGACAATCAGAAAGAGGCCTTTTTAACACCTGTAAGGCTGAGACTCTAAGCCAGGGAACAGCCAGTTTTCCTGAGCATGCTTTTCAGGCACTACCTATTTAAGTAAAGTTAACCTTAATTCTTCTCTTACCTGGTTAAATAAACATCATTTTCAAATATAGCACTTTAGGCAAGGCTTTGGTTACATAATTGATTTGTCCAATTATATCTTGATAAAGCGGAAGAAAATACTTATTGTACCTATGCAATTTAACTACATTGCCATAAAAAGTAAGGAGACTTAGTAAGAGTTTATGAATTCTAGGGGAGGGGAGAATGTTTTATTTCAGTTTACAAAAGCAGAGTTGGCAAATTGCTGTGGATTAAAAGAAAGGGCTTTCTTACATGGACAGAAAATACAATATTGACACAGCATAAAAAATATTCCCAACAGATAGCCACAACAAAGTTTCCCTAGTCTATTCATGATTATATTTATTTATATATGATTTATATATGTTAATTCTTGTTCTGCAGAATCTTGGGTTAGCAATCTCGTGAAGCCATTTGCTCCTGGACTGAAAAGTGTCCTGGGAATCCTGCCTCAGCCCTTTGATCGAGTCTGAAAGATGTCTAAGTGATGTCAGCTCATCTTTGCAGTGTTAATAGTTTGAAGTAGCTGGTACTATTATTTTTCTTGAAGGTATGAGACTATTCTTTGTTGAAGACTCAAACTTTGGTCTGGAGCTTATCACATTGGCTTCAGCCAGGCATTAGAGTAAAACAAAAGCTATCTGTAGATGACAGAGACTAAATAGTTATGATTAATTTATTACTGATAATTATCAAATTTCCAAAAGTTCTGATGTGAGTTCATAAAAAGAATCATGCAACTGAGGAGGAAATTTGGTTGTTTTCAATGGTTTGCAAATAAAGCCAATTTAAAACTTTTAGATAGAAGTCTCCAATAATAACAATTAGGCCTCTTTTCAAATATTTCAGTGATTGTTACATTTACTTTGTGAAAATGAATGACTATAATTTTTATAGAGGAAAAAGTATCAGGATATAACATATAATCACAAGACATAACATATTTGACATACCAAGAATATACTAAGAATATAAGAAAAAGAGATTCTATAATTCTGTAATAGAGCATAGACACCTGTATGCTTTTTTCTCTGATGAAACTTCATGGGTAAGACTGACATGAATCCACAGTTGAGAGCTACTGACACAGAAGATGCTAGATTCAAACTAAAGAAGGCTGTAGTCAATGAACATTTTAAATAATAATTGAAGTTGTCACTGATCATATTCTACCATTAGTGCCTAATATCATTGCCAGGCAAAGCTATGCCAGAACTCTGATAAATATAGGAAAACCAGGCAAAATCATTTCAAATGTTTTGATTGGTGTTTCCCTTGAGATTAAAACAAATTATGGCAAGTGAGGGCATTTACAAATCTCCAGGAAATTCCTATGAAGCATATGATTTCTGAAATATTTATACTAATAAGATATTGTTACAAAAATTTAACTTAGAGAAGATGTCTCTTCTGATTTGATAGTTTTTACATGAAACTTTATATTAGTAATAGATCAAATAAACCTAATTATTTAATATTTCTATTACCTATCCTTTTTTTTTTTAAGGTGAAGGGACAAATCTTTGTGATTATCCAGGGTCTCTCTGGAAGATCTCAACTATAGTGTTAGGTACAAAAGATATCATGAAATATTTATTCATTTATTTACTATATTTAGGGTCTGGTTTTGGGAAGGTAAAAAATCATTAAGTTGGCAGTTTAGGTTGGAATACTTCATAGAGATAGGACCTTGCGTGTCTGAGAAAGAATACGTGGTTATCTATTTAATTAAAGAGACAATAAGACATTTAAATATAAGCATGAAGGATAACATGATGAAAAAAGAATCTTAACTCCCTGTTTCATGAATGAGGAAACTTTTGTAAAGAACTGTGAAAAGTCCAAGGTTTTACCCTACTGGCCACATAACAAGTTGCCTGCCACAGTTTCATGGGTGCTGGCAGAAGACGTGAGACTCTTGGGTAAGAGTCAAAGGACTTTATCACAGCAGAAGGTTCATGTTCATGTTGGTTTATCTTATGCCATCCCCCAAGTCGATGGGGGTGATGAAAAGAGACCTGGTGAAAGAGGCACACATAGTTGGTTGTGCCATAACTGAGGAACCCTGGGTTTAGGGAACCTGTTATTGTAATTAGCTGTAAGCAAACTTGCCTGACCTTTGCCCTGGAGGAAGACCTGACATTTGCTCCTGAGGGAGACACTGTCTCCTCTAAAGTGGTTTGGTATATGGATATCCTTGAAAAGATAGTCAGGAACAAAAGGGCAATTAGCACCTCTGAGCCGGGCGCGGTGGCTCACGCCTGTAATCCTAGCACTCTGGGAGGCTGAGGTGGGCGGATTGCTCGAGGTCAGGAGTTCGAAACCAGCCTGAGCAAGAGCGAGACCCCGTCTCTACTATAAATAGAAAGAAATTAATTGGCCAACTAATATATATATAAAATTAGCCGGGCATGGTGGCGAATGCCTGTAGTCCCAGCTACTTGGGAGGCTGAGGCAGGAGGATTGCTTGAGCCAGGAGTTTGAGGTTGCTGTGAGCTAGGCTGACGCCATGGCACTCACTCTAGCCTGGGCAACAAGCGAGACTCTGTCTCAAAAAAAAAAAAAAAAAAAAATTAGCACCTCTGTACACAAGGTGAACAGAAACCCAAGAGACCATTGACAGTTGTTTTCAACATCTTTGTTTCTCCCTTTTTCTTAGATAATTAAGGATACAAAAAAGTCAACATAAAGTACAGAAAATTATTTATTAGCAATAAATCTGTGTTTGAGGGTATAACTCAAGAATTCCTGGCCCAGACGAATGTACTGAAGTATTTACCCAATGTTTTCTTTTAGTAGTTTCATAGTTTCAGGTCTCATATTTAAGTCTTTAATCCATTTTGATTTGATTTTTGTATTTGACAAAAGATAAGGGTCTAGTTTTATTCTTCTGTGTATAGATATCCAGTTTTCCCAGCACCATTTATTGAAGATACTGGCCTTTCCCCACTGGCACTTTTGTTGAAGATAAATTCACTATAGATGTGTGGATTTATTTCTGAGTTCTCTATTCTGTTCCATTGGTCTATGTCAGAGATCCTCAAACTATGGCCCATGGGTCACATGTGGCCCGCTGAGGATATTTATCCAGCCCCCTGGGTGTTTTTGCTGCCGCTGCATGTCCTGCTTAGCAGCCACTTGTCCTGGCCCCACAGTGCACATGTGTGGAATGTGCGAAATGTGTGGAATGTGTGGAATGTCTCCAACGGCCCTCCAATGGTCTGAGGGACAGTGAACTGGCCCCCTGTTTAAAAAGTTTGAGGACCTCTGGTCTATGTGTCTGTTTTCATGCCAGTCCCATGCTATTTTGGTTACTACAGCTCTATAGTATAATTTGAAGTCAGGTAATGTGATTCTTCCAGTTTTTTTCTTTTTGCTCGGGATGTTTTTGGCTATTCTGGGTCTTTTGTTGTTCTATACAAATTACAGGGTTATTTCTTTTATTTCTGTGAAGAATGTTATTGGTATTTTCATGGGAATTGCATTGAATCATTATATTGCTTTGGATAGTAGGGATATTTTAACGGTATTGATTCTTTCAATCCATGAGCATGGACTATCTTTCCATTTTTTTTGTGTGTCCTCTTCAATTTATTTCAAAAATGTGTTACAGTTTTCATTATAGAGATGTTTCACTTCTTTGGTTAAGTTTATTTCTAAGTATTTTATTTTATTTGTAGCTATTGCAAATGGGATTACTTTCTTGGATTCTTCTTCAGATTGTTTACTATTGGCCTAGAGAAATGCTACCCATTTTTGTATGTTGATTTTGCATCCTGCAACTTTACTGAATTTGTTTATCAGTTCTAATAGTTTTGGGGTGGAATCTTTAGGTTTCTCTAGATATAAGAACACATTGCCTACAAATAAGAATAATCTGACTTCTTCCTTTCTAATTTGGATGCCTTCTATTTCTTTCTCTTGTCTGATTGCTCTAGCTAGAACTTCCAGTACTATGTTGAATAATGGTGACAAGAAAATGGGCATCCTTGTCTTATTCCAGATCTTAGAGGAAAGGCTTTCATTTTTCCTCATTCAGTATGATACTAGTTGTGCTATGTCACATATGGCTTTTATTATGTTGAGGTAAGTTCCTTCTATACTCAGTTTTTTGAAGTTTTTATCATGAAAATGTGTTGAATTTTGTTGAATGCTTTTTCAGCATCAATTGAAATTATTATATGGTTTTTGTCCTTCATTCTGTTGACATGATGTATCACATTGATTGATTAGCATATATTGAACCATCCTTGCATCCCTGGGATGAATCCCACTTGATCATGATGAATAATCTTTTTAATGTGTTGTTGAATTTGGTTTATTAGTATTTGGTTGAGGATTTTTGCATCTGTGTCATCAGAGATATTGGCTTATAGTTTTCTTTTTTTGTTGTGTCTTTGTATGGTTTTGGTATCAGGGTGATACAGGCCTCATAGAATGAGTTTGGGATTATTCCCTCCTCCTTGATTTTCTGGAATAGTTTAGGTAGTGTTGGTATTAGTTCTTCTTTGAATGCTTGGTAGAATTCAGCAGTGAAGCCATTGGGTCCTAGGCTTTTCTTTGATGGGAGACTTTTTATTATTGCTTCTATCTCATTACTTTTTACTGGTTTATTCAGGTTTTGGATTCTTCCTGGTTCAATATTGGCAGGTTGTATGTGTCTAGGAATTTATCCATTTCTTCTAGGTTTTACAACTTACTGGCATATACTTGCTCAAAGTGGTCTCTAATAATCTTCAGATTTCTGCAATATCAGTTGTAATGTCTCCTTTTCCATCTCTGATTTTATTTTTTTGAGTCTTTCTTTTTTTTCTTAGTCTGGCTAATGGTCTGTCAATTTTGTTTATCTTTTCAAAAAATCAACTTTTTGTTTCATTGATCTTTTGGATTGTTTTTTAGTTTCAATCCATTTATTTGTGCTCTGGTCTTTATTATTTCTTTTCTTCTACTAATTTTGGGTGTGATTTGCTCTTGTTTTTCTAGTTCTTTGAGATGCATCATTAGATAATTTATTTGAAGCTTTTCTACTTTCTTGATGTAGGCATTTATTGCTATAAACTTTCCTCTTATTACTGCTTTTTTCTGTATCCCATAGGTTTTGATATATTGTGTGTTCATTTTTATTCATCTCAAGAAATGTTTTCATTTCCTTCTTAATCTCTTCACTGACCACTAATTGTTGGTCATTTAGGAACATATTGTTTAATTTCTATGTGTTTGTGTGGTTTCCAATGTTCCTATTATTATTAATTTCTAGTTTTACTCCCTTGTGGTCAGAGAAAATACTTGATATGATTTAATTAAAAAAATTTTAAGACTATTTTGTGGCCCAATATATGATCTATCCTTGAAAATGATCCATGAGCTTAGGAGGTGTATTCTGCAGCTATTGGATGAAATGTTCTGTAAATATCTATTAGGTACATTTGGTTTATAGTACAGGTTAAGTCCAATGTTTATTTGTGGATTTTCTGTCCAGATGACCTGTCTAATCCTGAAAGTGGAGGGTTGAGGTCTCCAGTGATTATTGTATTGGGGTCTATTTCTCTCTTTAGCTCTGTTAGTATTTACTTTATTTATCTGGGTGCTACAGTGTTTGGTGTATATGTATTTAGAATTTGTTGTATCCTTTTGTTGAATTGACTGCTTTATCATTATATAATGATCTTCTTCATCTCTTTTTACAATTTTTGTCTTGAAATCTATTTTATCTGATAGAAGTATAACTACTCCTGCTCTTTTGTGGTTTCCATTTGCATGGAATATCTTTTTCCATACTTCTATTTTTGGTTTATGTTTGTCTTTATAGGTCAAGTGGGTTTATTGCCAGTAACATACCATTGGCTCTTATTTTTTTAATTCATTCAGTCACTCTGTCTTTTGATTGTAGTTTTGTCTATTCACATTCAATATTATTATTGATAGGTAAGGACTTACTACTGCCATGTTGTTCTTTGATTTCTGCTTGTTTTGTGGTTCTCCCTTATTTTCATCCTTCCTTCCTTTGTTAAAAGTGATTTTCTCTGGTAGTGCGTTTTAGTCTCTTGCTTTTTTTTTTTGTGCATCTGTTGTAGGTTTTTTTTTATTTGAGGTTACCATGAGGCTTGCAAAAAACATTTTATAACCAATTATTTTAAATATCTGACAACTTTGCTTAAAAAATAATCAAACAAGCAAAGACAAATCTACCAGAAATTCTACACTTTGACTCCATCCTCCCTTGCTTTTTAACCTTTTGTCATTTTTATTCATATCTTTTTATACTATCTATCTCTCAAAAAGTTGTTGTAGTTATTTTTGATAGATTTGTCTTTTAGTCTTCATCTTCCTACTCAAAATATAAGTGATTTATACACCACAATTACAGCAATAGAGTATTCTGTATTTGCATACTTACTCTTACTAGTGAGTTGTGTATCTTCAGATGATTCCTTATTGTTCATTAACATCCTTTTCTTTCAGATTGAAGAACTCCTTTTAGCATTTTTTTGTATGACAAGTCTGGTGTTGATCAAATCCTTCAGCTTTTGTTTGTCTTAGAAAGTCTTTATTTCTTCATGTTTAAAGGATATTTTTGCAGGATATAATATGTTAGGGTTAAGGTTCTTTTCCTTCAGCACATTGAATGTGTCATGCCACTCTCTTATAGCCTATAAGGTTTTCACTGAGAAGTCTACTGCCAAATGTATTGGAGCTGCTTTATATGTTATTTTTTTTTCTTGCCTCTCTTAGGACCTTTTCCTTATCTATGACTTTTGGGAGCTTGATTATTAAATACTTTGAGGTTGTCTTGTTTGAGTTAAATCTTCTTGTGTTCTATGATCTTCTTGTACCTAAATATCGATATCTTTCTCTAGGATTGGAAAGTTCTCTGTTACTATTTCTTTGAATAAACTTTCTACCCCAATCTTTCTCTCTACCTCCTATTTAAGGCCAATAATTCTTAGATTTGCCTTTTGAGGCTATTTTCTAGATCTTATAGGTATGCTTCATTCTTTTTTAATTCTTTTTTTCTCTTCTGACTGTGTATTTTCAAATAGCCTGTCTTCAAACTCATTGATTTTTTTTTTCTTTTGCTTGGTCAATGCTGCTGTTGAGAGAGACTGATGCATTCTTCAGTTTGTCAATTGAATTCTTCAGCTCTAGAATTTCTGCTTGATTATTTTTATTATTTAAATTTCCTTGTTACATTTCTCTGATAGGCTTCTGAATTCCTTCTCTGCATTGTCTTAAAATTCATTGAATTTCTTCAGGACAGCTATTTTGAATTTCCTATTTGAGAGGTCACATATCTTCATCACTCCAGGGTGGTCACTGGTACCTTATTTTGTTTGGTGAGATCATGTTTTCCTGAACGTTCTTGAGGCTAGTGGATATTTGTTGATATCTGGGCAGTGACAAGTTAGGTTATTTATTTTAATCGTTATACTTTGGGCTTATTTGAACCTATCTTTCTTGAGAAGGATTTCCAGATATTCAAAGGGAATTGAGTGTTGTGATCTAAGTCTTTAGTTGCTACAGCCATATCATCACGGTGGGCGGGGGGGTAGTGCCTCAGTCAATACTGTGACTCTTGCAGACTCCTGGTGGTACTGCCTTGGTGGACTTGGGTAAGACATGGGAGAATTCCCTGGATTACCAGGCAAAGTCTCTCACACTCTTCCCTCACTCTCTGTGATGGGGGAAGCAGTGATGTGGTCACTCCCTGTGGCCACCAGCACTAAATCACACCTGAAGCCAGCCCAGCCTCACCCAAAGCCCAGGATGACTGTTGCCTGGTTACCTCTGATATTTATTCAAAGCATAAGGACTCTTTAGTCAGCAGGTGGTGAATCCTATCAGGACTGGGTCCTTCCCCTCAGTGCAACATGTTTTTATCTGGGCCAGGGTAGGTCAAGAAATGCCATCCAGAAGTATGGCCTGGATTGAGGAGTTTTAGAAGTCTGCTTGGTACTTTATTTTACTGTGGCAGAGCTGTTATACAACATGCAAAACAAAATCCTCTGCACTCTTCTCTTTTCTTTCCCCTAAGTGGGAGAAAAGTCTCCTTGAGCTGCACTGTCCATAATTGGAAGAGGGGTGACACAGGTATTCACTTGGCCGCTGTTGTTGGTGTCTCACTCAGTCAAGTGGACCCCAAGTCTACTGGCTCCAAGACAGCACAGCCACAGGAATTGCCCAAGGAGTGCAGCCTTTGTGGCCTGACTGCCTTATGAATTCAGTCTAGGACCCAGGTTGCTTTTTGTCAGCCAGTGGTGGGGCTAGCCAAAACTCGGGTTTGGGGACAGAGGATGTCCCTCTGTTCAGGCTGTCTAAATGCTCCCTCTGTGGGCACTGGCAGAATTCTGCCCTGTATTGTGTTCCCCTGTGCCAGGGTGGCCCTGAGTTTCAGTGCAAAGTCCCACAAGCACTTCATTCTCCCTCCCCTGGGAACACAGACTCTCTTTCCATTCCACATGCTGGCCACTGCCAGGGAATGGGGGAGGGTTGGTGTAGGCAATGCAAAGTTGTCTTTTCTGTCCTCTTTAGTGCCTCTTCCCTTGATATAATGTGAAAACCAGGTAGTAAGATTGCTCACCTGAGTTTTGGTACTTCTGAAGGTGCTTGCTTGCACGGATAGTTGTTGAATTTGGTGTTCATGTGGAGAGATGATCACTGGAGGTTTCTGTTTGGCCATCTTGCTCTGCCTCCTTCACATCTATTGAGAAGGTAAATGAACTAATTAAGATGGCTGGGGTACAGGAGAAATTATATAAATGTTCATTAATTTAAGGCTCCTACTCCAAGTCTGTTTATAATATCTTGGTTGTTTTCTTTACCAGTGAGTTGAGAACAAAAGTTACTCTCTACAGTAAACACAGGACCATGAAAACTTGACAGAAAAGTAGTGGAGGATAAAGTAATAAAAAATAGTTAACATTTATCCTGTGGCTAATGGGTGCCAGACATTGTGATAACTTGCATATATACTATCTATCTCCACTTAATTTTCACAATAGCATATGAAGCAGATACTATGATTATTTCCATTTTATATATGAGAAAACTGAGACATAGATAAGCTTAGTAATTTGTCAAGGGCACACAGTCAGTAAGTGTCAGAGCAGGATGCAAACCCAAGTATGTCTGACTCCAAATCCCATGCTCCAAATCCCCACGAGATGCTGAGAGGTTGTTTGGAAATGACTTACATAAAATAAATTGGAGAAAGTGCGACATCACTCTTACCTGAATGCTTCTCTTTAAGTGAGAGGGAAAGAAGTGAAGTTACAGATGGGTGACTCCCACCTGTACTTCCCACACTGGTGAGGTGATACCAGGTGTTGATCAACTGTGATGGGAACAAGGTGGGGACAAGGTAAGAAGCACTGGACTGGGGATGTTGTATGCAGAGGATGTTGCTCCCAAATCTCCACTCTTTTGATTCCCAGGTCTTTGAATAGGGGTGGGGGAATGTTTATATCTGGAAGCAAACCTCTCCCAAAGTAGACACAGAGATCAGAAGTAACAGGGTCACAGCTCTTTCCTACTAAACTGTATGACCCTGGGCAAGTCACTTAGCTTTTCTCAGCTTTAGTCCCCCTATCTGAAAAATGGGGGTTGTAACATGTGGTAAAGCTACTTGACAGGCTTGTTGTGAGAACCAAACGAGATTGCACGTTTAGTTGTGATTACTATTTTGAGAGATTTGGTAGCGAGCAAGGCCTTTAGTTTTGGTGGAGTAAGGGCCCTGGAAGACAGCATCCTAACAGTGAATTCATGCCCTTAACTCCTGAGTCTTTTCCCCATTCTTCCCCCCCACAGACACGCAGACACTCTCAGTGACCCCTCGCCTACTCCACTGCCCAAGCCTCTGCTCCCAAGCCCTGGAACACACCACTCCCAGACAAAAACTATTAGGAAAACTTTTAGAGGAGTGGGCACCCCTGACAGGGCTGGGCCCCATTTTTGGTAATGTGTTGGTAGATGTTTGAGAATTAGTTCTAAAAGCCATTGCTTTTCCCCTAAGTGGAATTTTCCTGGAAAGCCATAAAAATGGAAGAGATTAGAATTTTTACTAGGTTGATCAGGTTACACACATCCTCTAGCTTGATACATCACAAACAAGAAAATAATAAAAAGCCTTTATACAAAGTCTTTTTGCCAGGGGTCATCTCAACACATCATAAAACATTAGGACATGACAAGTAAAAGATTGGAATCAGCTGTGCTTATAAACTAGCACTCACAGCCTGAGCATTCAGGGTGGGAGAAAACTTGAAGGGCTCTTGGGGTTGCATAAACAGGCCTTGGGAAGCAGCGAGAGTGCACTCTGGGACCACCTTTTCCCTGCCGACTGCTTGGCTGTTCCATTGCCCTCCTTCCAAGGAAAACTGGATTCTAGTTTGCCTATGGCTTCTCTGACCTGCAGCTTCAGGCCCCATCTGTTCCTGGTACTGAAGGCATCCAAGTTGCGGGGCATGACATTTTACCCAGTGTCTGAAGCCCTTTAAATTCAGGCTTTGAGAAAATGAGGCTGGAAGAATGATGTTATCAACAAAAATGATGATTTCCTTTGGAGGAAGTTGAAGAGTTCAGTTTGTGACAATATTTCAGACATCATTTATTTTAAGCTTGCTGACTCTTATTCACAGTCCATCCCCTGCGGCTGGACGGGGAGCAGGGTAGAGAGGGATGCTGTTTCCACAGTGCCTGACACTCCACTTTGCCTGTATTTGATCACAGGATTTGCCATTGATTTGTGTCCACCATCTAGATTGTAAATCTATTGATTGCCTGATATATTAGGGTTCAATAAATGTGTGTATTAGTATACTCAACCTGACTCATTAATTCCCCTAGGCTCTTAATTCCCCTAGATTTAAAAATCATCCTTTCATTGATATGGTTCCATCCCAAATTATATGATCTCTCCTTGGCAATTATCTACTTGACATATTCATGAATCTCTCACAGAAATGTCAAAGTCAAATGTCAAAAATGTCAACAAAAGTCTATTCCCCACCAACCTGTCCTTTCTGACACCGATCATCAAATCTTCCCCATCTCAGTAAGTGACAACACATCTGCTCAGTTATTCAAACTGGAAATCTAGAAGTCATCTTTCATTCTCCCTTTCCAGACATTGAATTCACCATCAAAATCATCTCCAAAATATATCTCAAATTCTTCTACTTTGGTTTATTACCTTAGTCTGGGTCAACATCATGTATCACCTGAATACTACGATAGGCTCCCAAATGGTCTTATTTGCATTCTTTCCCCCCACCAACCCATTCTCTTATTGTCTTTTTCTCCTGTAGCCACACTGTCATCTACTTCCTACCTTCCTTTATTAGTTTTAAGGAAATCCCAGACCTTTTCATTCTTTCATTTCAGAATATTATGGGGGTACAAACATTTTGGTTACATATAATGCCTTTGCCTCACCCAAGCCAGGGCTACAAGTGTGCCCTTCCCCCATACAGTGTGTTCCACCTCCATTAGTTGTGAGTTTACCATCCCCATCTCCTCCCTCCCACCTGATCAGCACCAAATGAATATTACTACCATGTGAGCACCTTAGTGTTCATCAATTAGTACCAGTTTGATGGCAAGTACATGTGGTGCTTGTTTTTCCATTCTTGTGATACCTCACTTCGAAGGATGGGCTCCAGTTCTATCCAGGATAATAGTAAGAGGTGCTAGTTCACCATTGTTTTTTGTGGCTGAGTAGAACTCCATGATATTTAATATATATTACTATATTATATATATATCATTCCACTCATGTATTGATGGGCAATTGGGTTGTTTCCACATCTTTGCAATTGTGAACTGTGCTGCTGTAAACATTCAAGTGCAGGTGTCTTTATTATAGAATGTCTTTTTTTCCTTTGGGTAGATGCCTAGTAGTGGGATTGCTGGATCAAATGCTTTTCTATTTTTAGCTCTTTGAGATATCTCCAAATTACTTTCCACAGGGGCTGTACTAATTTTCAGTCCCACCAGCAGTGTAAGAGTGTTCCTGTCTCTCCACACCCACACCCACACCAGTATTTATTGTTTGGGGAATTTTTTTTTAAATTTCAGCATATTATGGGGGTACAAATGTTAAGGTTACACATATTGCCCTTGCTCCCCCCCCCACTCTAGTCAGAGCTTCAAGCGTGACCATCCCCCGGACAGTGTGCCTTGCACTTATTATGGGGCTTTTTGATAAAGGCATTTCTCACTGGAGTTAGGTGATATATCATTGTGGTTTTGATTTGCATTTCTGTAATGATTAGAGATGTTAAACACTTTTTAATATTTTTGCTGGCCATTATTCTGTCTTCTTTTGAAAAGTTTCTGTTCATGTCTTTCACCCATTTATTGATGGGGTTGTTTGATTTTTTTGTTGTTAAGTTCTATATAGATTCTTGTTATCAGACATTTATTGGATATGTAGAATGCAAATATTTTCTCCCATTCTGCAGGTTGTCTATTTGCTCTACTGAGAGTTTCCTTGGCCGTGCAGAGGCTTTTTAATTTGATCAGGTCCCATTTATTTATTTTTGTTGCTGCTGTGATTACTTTGGGGGTCTTCATAAATTCTTTGCCTAGGCCAATGTCTATAAGAGTTTTCCCAACATTTTCTTTTAGAATTCTTAAGGTTTAATGCCTTATGTTTAAGTCTGTTATCCATCATGAGTTGATTTTTGTAAGAGGTGAGAGATGGGGATCCAGTTTCAATCTTCTGCATGATGGCTGGTGATAATTTTGACTTGTAAAAAACAAACAAAAAAAGAACTGAAGAAAGGTCTCCTCTTTTATTTTTTATATGTTCCTATTTTGTTTCTATGTATTGGATGATTTTTTTAAATCAATTCTCTGGGTATTGTTTTTGTGTCCACCTCCAAAGTGTTCTGCCATCAGGATCTTATTTTGCTGCTTCAATTTTTTTCGTGGCCTCTACAGTTTCAACTTTCATTTACAGAATGATGCACCTTTCTTCTCCATGTTTCCATGAATAGCATCGTCCACTCTATGAGTCAAGCTAGAAACGTCAGACACATCTTTAGCTTTTTGTCTTCTTCAACATGTGGCAATGTAGCAATGGAAAAGAAGGGGGAGAAATAGAGATGGGAGTTTGGAAGGCAAATCCTTCAGTAGGACAAAGAATGCAAAGGGAAGCAGGGAGGTGCTGAGTGGGAGAAAGTGTGCAGGGGATATATCTCAAAGGGCCACATGAGTCATGCTGGGAAATTTGGCTTGATCGTAGAGGCAACAGTGATCCGTCAGTTGGAGGGTTTTAAGGAGTGGGGATTCATGATAAGTTTCAGGATTTCAACAACTTAATCTGACTACAGTGTGAAGAATGGATTGTAGGGGCTCAAATTTGAGTCAGAAAGAGTGTCAGTACCTGGGTGCAGACAAAGAAATGATGAAATTACAGAGAAGAGAAGATGAGGTCTTGAACAAAGAAGGATGTGGGGGCAGCAAGACAAAGTGAGACTCTTAGGTGAGCAAGAGTCCTTGAAGGGTGGCTACTTGGAGGGCTACTCCAGCCTCAGCTAGGGAGATATGAAGGGGACCAAGAGGAGAAGGCTGTGTGAGTGTGAGAGCTCTTGGGGACAAATTAGTTTGTGAGAGTGAAGGCAGTCTGCCTTTCTGACCCACTTTCTCCCTTCTTGTGGTTGGAGTTTATTTTGCTTGCTGAAAATATGGGTGGAATAATCAGGAGATGAATGAAAATAATTTGGAGAATAAATCACAAAGGGCAAAACTTAAGATCTAGAATTGTTGCAACACAATTGTAATAGGAACTGAAAGGAAATTAGGCTTATTTTCTTATAGTTTTTGATTATTCATAAGATCATAATCCTTTCCTTGAGAAAGTAGATCAATTGTGATTTCTAGATGTAGTTCGTGGCCCCAATTACACTAGTGAGTGTTTACAAGGGAAAGTAAGAAAAACAGTAGGTTGTTTTGTCTTGCTCAAAAGTCCACCTATGAATCATTCTCTGAGGATAGAGGATTTTCCCAAAGAGGTAATGTTTATAAATTCACAATGTTTCTCTGCTTATAAATGTGAAAGGAGAAACTGAAAAGTCAGGAAATACTTATATCTGGTACTTCTGCTAACAGAGATTTGAAATTACACCAACTAGGCAGGCAGCACTAGTGGTTTTCATTGGAAAAAAATAGAGTAAATGAGAAGAGAAAAGTTGGTTTTTTTTTTCTTTCAATGTGAACTTGGGACTCCTAAAGGGAGTGGTTGTGTGGCTGAGGGTGCTGAGGGTCGGGTCAGTTTCCATTAGGCTCTTTTATGTTCTGGGAAAAGTTGCTGTGGGTGAAGCCTAGGCTACTGGGAAAAATACTGGAGAATCCATTCTCCTACCCCTGTAGTAAAGTGGGAGCTTTCCCTTTAGCTCAGTAAGTAACTTAATAATTCTTTCCTTAAACAGTCAATATAAATGATGTTTTATTAGTAGTTTAAACATAGTAATTTTTCATCACAATAAAGAACCCAATGAAGATTAAACTTAATTTACAATTTCTTCAAATTCACATAGGATCCTTGTTAGTGTACACCCAGACATATTTGCATTATTGCACAGTTTCCTGCATTAGACTTTAACAATTATTCAGACACTGAGCTCTTTATTTATTCACCTATTTCTGCAGGTAAACTGCAAAAAAAAAAAATCCTAAGTCTGAGGTGGTTAAGCCATTTTAGCAGCTGAGAGTTTTCTGCTTAAATCACCTATGCATGTATGCATTTAAAGGATATATTTTCATTTTCTTATAGTTGATGCAATTGTTCAGAACCAGCCTCCTTATTAAGCAACCTAACTTTCTGTTTATTGAAGTGCCCTCCACAAATAAATTTAAGCAAACACAAAGAAAGGGATCTCAAAATTATCATCAGATGCTCTGTGGTAAGAAAAGAACACAAAGATTTTCTAAGAGCTGAAGAATTTAGGCTACAGCTGAGTTTTAAGAGAAGATGAAATATCATTGAAAATAGGATCTTGGTAGCTCCATAGAAGTACATAATGATACTCATTTTTAAGTGAAGATTCACTTTATAGTATTAATATTACAAATATGGACAAAGTGTTCCAAATACATAGCCATCAAGAATGGCAAAGATCTAAATCTAAATGACTTTATATCTGAAATTCAGTTAAAAAAATCAATGGTTATCATTTACTTTGGGAGAACAGGCCCTCAAACGTGTCTTCTCTGTAGCTTCTAAGTTCTATTGCTGAGCAGTCTAAATTCTACTGATGTCTCATCCTGACATTAGAATTGTCCTTTATAGTTTTTGTTCCTTCCTGTCCTAGTACATTAAAATTAATGAAAAAAGAAAAACTAAAGATGACATTAAGTAAGCAATCATGTTAAATCTTGTTATTTTGTTAATTGTGAAACCAGCAGCCTTTCATGGGAAGACCAGGAGGCTGAGGCGCAAATTTCCATTTCAAATATAATTTTCTGAAATGAGAGTTTGATAATTTTTAATTTAATAAACTCTATATTGTTTGAATAATAGGAATTTTCTTGACAACTGGTCAATACTTTAAATCCTGCCAGGACCATGAAAAAACCAGAGAAATAATGTAAATTTAAGACAACCAAATTTTAATTTGTGGATTATTCCTATGAGAATGGAAATTGCTCCTTGTGTTTCTGAAATAAATCAAAAAGGAATGCCCTTCCTACCACTGGAAGCTGTGATGCCTCTTACCAGTTGCAAGTAGTATAGACGGTTTGGTGTGTGTCAAGCATGGTGCTGACTCATTCCAGATGCTTGGTGTATTGTTCAGATTGGGTCAGTGGATCAGGCACATGGAATTCTTTTGGTCATTGAAATTAGTTTGCTATTGCCATTGTAACAAATTACTAAAAACTTGTGGCCTAAGGTAACACACATTTATTCCCTTACATTTCTGGAGGCCAGAAATCTGAAATCAGTTTCACTGTTCCAAATCAAGGTGTTGACAGGGCTTCACTCCCTCCAGAGGGTCATGAAATCTGTTTCCTTGACTTCCCCAGCTTCTGGACAGGCACTGCTTGCATTCCTTGGCTCATGGTCTCTTTCTGTATCTTCAAAGCCCACAGTATAGGAACTCTCTCTTTCTTGCCCTTTCTGTAAGGTTGCTACATCACCTTCTTTCTTCTGTAGTAGACTCTCCCTTTACTCTCTCTTGTAAGGATACATGTGATTACCTTTAGGACTCACCTGTATAATATAGAATAATTTCCCATCTGAAGATTTTTAATTTAATCACATCTGCAAAGTCCCTGTTATCATCTTAGATAATATTCATAGGCTCTAGGGATGTCCTTGGGTGTCATTATGTATTCTGCCACAGTTATGAATTCTCCTTTTGTCCTTCCTTTCCTTGAATGCCTATAATGTAAAGTGTTCAATGCTGTGATGGCCCCTAAAGACACAAAAATGAGTGGGACATATATCTCTACTTTAGAAATCCAGTTTAGATGAGGAGACATCCATGCATACAAATGACTATCATGCAAGGATACCACCAGAGAGATTTGCAAATAGTGTTTTTACGACATTGAGGAGGGATGGTTCATTCCTTGAGAACTGGGAAGCTTTAGAGATCTGTCCTACGGGAACACTTGAAGTGGAACATTCCTAGATTAGGCCTCAGATAGGTTCTCTGAGAGGGTACTGCAGTCCATTCACTACAGCTCTTGGCCCCACCCTCAGGGAAGGGTCTTCCCTGAACGTTAGTCTCACTGACCACAAATGACATGAGTCTTGGGAGAGGTACTGGGCAGTGCTCGTGGTCCATTTGTTGTCTACAGATGTTTGGACATCCAAAGGTTGCTTTAAGTTTTAACAGTCAGAGACTTTTAATCCAAACCTATGCTTCCTATTGGTAGTTCAGATATCTCAAAAACTTAGTAGTCTCTTTATCAGTTTGATTAAAATGAATTTCATGTGCTAAATAACCATATCCACAGTTCTTAAGACATAGTTCCAGATTTTCTGTATTTGATTTCTCATCCCAATCTCTCTCTTGGCTTAACTGGAATTGCATATACCTCAAGCTTATTGGACATCAGTGGGAGAATCACATTTTTAGGACGTTTTCCCTGAGTTATTTTTGTCTAACTAAAAGGATTCCCTTGGGGGACTCTTGTAATAAAATTTTTTATTCAAGATGCTTTAATTCATTCAAAGGTGTTCACTATCAATATAATGACTCTTGATTTAATTCTATTTCCAGGCCTGATTTTTATTTTGTTTTGTTTCTCAAGGCTTTTCTCAAATTTATGTTTACTGTTAGAGTTGTGAAGAAGTTGCTTCTTCTGATTCTGCTAGACCCTATATTCTTTTCTGTTCCAGCTTGTGATAGAAGCCAATTTTTTTCTGGGCTCATCTCTTTTTTTTCCAATTCTTTGCCAAATGCAGCAACAAACACATATCATTCTTCTTCTGTTTTCTCACTTCTGTATGTAAGTTCACTGATCACATGATTGCCTCTGAAGTTACTGGTAGCTACAGCTTACCAAATGATTTGCCACTTGGTAACTTCGGTTGGCATCTTTCCAGCATTCAATATCAGTTTTCTGACTTCCTGTTAATCTTTTAGCCAAGGCTACACATTTTATTTTTTAAAATTTCAAACTATTAAGTGACACAAAAGGTTTTTTTTTTATGTGGAAACACTCTATAATGCTAAAGTCAGGGCTTTCAGTGTGCCCTCCACCAGGACAGCGTTCACTGTACCTGATAGGTAAGTTTTTATCCTTCATCCCGCAGAAGCTCAGGAAATTTCACCCCAAAATATGACTCCTTGGTATTAAGAGTATTTTGATTAAAGGCCCCTTTGAGATCAATAGTACCTTGGAAAGGGCTTTCCCTCTATCTGCACAACCAGACAGACCCATCAAAAGAACAATCAACTTCCCCTCCCTTCCCTTTTATATCACTATATTGCAGGAAAGAAAATCAAGAATGCAACCAGATCAGGCCCAAATAATTTTTAACATAATACCCGTCTCTCGGGTTAATTTACAAGTCAATCTATTTCCCCTACCAATTCATCCTCCCTAGCAACCATTTATCACTCTTAAATAGAATTACATATATTCCTAATTTTCCCCACCTCTAAAAGAAGGCATAAAAATATCTGGATCCCATTAGGATATTGGGTAATCACTCTGTGATTCTTGCCATGAGCATCATAAATAAACCTCTTCCTCTGTTAATCTGCCTTAATTGTAAGTTGATCTATCAGTGAACTTTTTTGCAAAAGGGGAAGTTTCCCCTCATCCTCATACCCCTAACCCCCCTCTCACCCTCCCTGCTTCTTATTTTCCTATGTCCTTTACATCTTTTTGTGCCCATCATTTGGGCATGTGGATCCATCATTTAGCTCCCACTAATTAGTGAGAATTTGTGATGTTTGTTTTTCCATACCTGAGATACTTCATTTAGGATAATGGTCTCCAGTTACATCCAAGTTGCTGCAAAAGACATTATTTCATTCCTTTTTATGGCTGAGTAGTATTCCCTGGTGTATATGTATATGTGTGTGTGTGTGTGTGTGTGTGTGTATGTATGTATATATATATATATATATATATATATATCTCACATTTTCTTAATCCACTCATGTATTGATGGGTGCTTAGGTTGATTCTATACCTTTGCAATTGTAAATTGTACTGCAATAAACATTCAAGTGCAGGTGTCTTTTTGATAAAATGATTTCTTTTCTTTGGGTAGGTACCCAGTAGTAGGATTGCAGGATTGAGTGGTAGGTCTACTTTTAGTTATTTGAAGACCCTCCATATTGTTTTCCATAGAAGTTGTACTAATTTCCAGTCGCACCAACAACGTATAAGTTGCCCTTTTTCTCTGTATCCATTATTTTTTTGACTTTTTAATAATGACCATTCTGACAGGGGTAAGGTGGTCTTTCATTGTGGTTTTAATTTGCATTTTCCTGATGAGTAGTGATATTGAACATTTTTTCATATGTCTGTTGGCCATTTGACTATCTTCTTTTGAAAAAATTCTGTTCATGTCTTTTGTGCAGTTTTTGATAGGGTTGTTTGTATTTTTTTCTTCCTATTTTGTTTGAATTCTTTGTAGATTCTAGAAATTAATCTTTTCAGATGTATAGTTTGCAAATGTATTCTCCCATTCTGTAGATGCCTGTTTACTCTGTTGATTATTGCCTTTGCTGTCCAATAGGTTTTAATTTAATTAAGTCACATTTATTTATTTTTGTTGCTATTGTATTTGCCTTTGGGGTCTTAGGTATAAATTCTTGCCTAGATCAGGGCATTCATATACCCCATCTTGGGACCAGAGCTTACTACAGAGACATCAGATAACTGGCTCAATAACTGGCTCCTCCTTGCAAACTACAATCAATGACAGAGAGTATAACTCCATAGCTTAACACAGTAGCTTCCATCTCTATTAGAGAACAGTGGAGTCATACCTGGAAGTGCAATCCACCAGCTTGGAGCGTAAGCTAGGAGACAAATCTCACTAATCTCCATTGGCAAGAGCTGAAGACAGTAGGTCAGAGGTAACCCAACTTTCTAAAATACCCCTAAGGCAATACAGGACCAGCATGCCTCTCCCCAGCACTGTCAATCAATGACCCTTGAGGGCTTGGAGATTCAGCCATAAACCAGTCCTTAGCACCCCCAGTTCTTGACCAAGAAGCCTGATATGAAAGAATCAGTGAAAGAACACAGGAAACATGAAAGATCAGAGAGAAAAGTCACCCCCAAAAGAAATCATGAGATCCTCAACAACAGATACCAATTTAAAAGAAATTATTAAAATGACAGAAGAAGAATTCTGACTATGGATTATAAGAAAGTGCAATGGAATTGAAGAGAAAATAGAAACACCAACACAAAGAAGCCACAAGAACAATACAGGAAATGAATGAAAAATTCTCTAAAGAAATTCAAGTGTTACGAAAGAACCAAACAGAAATACTGGAAATGAAAGAGGCATTTGAGGAACTACAAAACACAGTGGAAAGCCTTAAGACTAGGTTGGATCATGGAGAGGAAAGAATCTCAGAGCTTGAAGATAATGCCTATGTACTAAACAAATCAGATGAAGAAAAAGAACACAGAAGCAAGAAACATGAACAAAACATATCAAAATATGTTGGATTATGTAAAGAAACCAAACATAAGAAATATAAGCATCCCAGTGACAGAACAAGAAAATACAC